ACTATTACAATACTTCATTATTAAATTATAATTTTTAATAAAATTATTTTAAATAAATACATTTTATCTCACATAGAACAAGTACATTTTGAAAATAAACCAATTTTTTCCCCTTGAATTCTATATTTATTTTTTTACATCAAGTAATGTAATTAATATATAGTTTCTCTTCAATTGTTTTCCCAGAAATTTAATCATGATTATTGTTCAATTGTTTGGTAATCCAAAAAAAAATGTTTTGTCTTTTTTGTTTTTGTTTTTAAAAATGTAGCAATAAATCAATTTAAATGGTAATACTTATCTTTGCTCCAAAAAAATTAAGATCTTGTTGTACTTCTACTAAATCATACAAAGTCTTCTCGAAAGTTTAGGTTATAACATATTACCTATCGTAATTTTTTCTATTGAAATTGATCATTTCCTAAAATATAATATTTTAAACAATAATGTTGATAAATTAGTTTTTAATAAATGAGATACAATATCTGTACAATGCAATATAATACATAGAATTTGCGAATAGCAATTAATCGCATAACACATTCATACATATTTATGCATATTAATCAATACCATTTTAATGAAGGCATATAAATCAGTTGACCATACAGCGTGCAAAATGCGTTTGTTAAAATCGAAGGTAAGTAGATTAAAATGAAGAAAGGATGACAAGAATCAGATATTGATTCATGTATATCAGCAAAATAATGAATTTCGGGTGTTCCAATGAAAATATTACATAATTATTATTCTAATGACAAAAGTAAGACCAATCTATTTCCTCTGCCCTAATTATAGAATTGCACGTACGAATTTGTGATTTTTTAATCTTTTCCTATTAAAACACCTTATTATAACTTTTTTTTGTTTAAAAAGAAAAATTTACAATCTGTACAATAACATAACAATAAGTAAATATGGTTGTAATATGAATATAATTGATATGAGTAACAAAATTGGGGAAGTCATGGGATTAGTTATAACTTTAAAAACTAAAACCATACATATAATATGAAGTAAATGAGTTAATTTCGATTATTTTAATTGTATAATTCACATAAAAGTTAACACAAATTTACACATTGAAGATTTAAAAGTCAATGCAATGCAGATTTTTAGTAAACATCAATTTCAAAATATTTATTTGAAAAAATGTACTCATTATAGATATTATGAAAATACCGGTCGTTAATAAAGTAATATTTTTAAAACACGAAACACACGTACTAAAAGGATCGATTTATAACTTAAGAACTTAAGAATACTATTAATATTTATGTTTTTTGATGGATATGGTTTAATTTTAAAATGTTTTGCTTTAATCTTCATTAATATTGCGTATTAATTGAACTAATTTGGTGTTATTTTCATAATGTTATAATAATGCTACAATTTTTTTTTATTTCAATTATAATTACTTTCCGAGAATTTTTTTCAAAATATTTTGAATATAGTAATTAAAAGCATTCCATGTATTATTATAATAATTAAATAATATTTCATATTATCATATTTAGAAACTTGATAATAACATTTAAAATATAATATAATAATATCCCTATTAGTATTATATTATAATTTAAGCAAATAACTAAATATAAATTAAAAATATTAGCAATTTAATTTGTGGAATATTCATATTTTCAAATTCATATGCATAACGCATAAATATAAATAATATTTATTAAATATACATTGTTACGATAAAAAGACATGGACATTAGTAGTCGTATCAAAGTATAGAATCCAACCACTGAACTTTAAACTATAATGTGATTTTTAAAGTGCCAGGATATATATTATATTAAGCTTCTTTAATATTTGGCAACAGAATTTACAAAACAAAATATTGGAAACCATACAAAAATAATAGGCAGACCATAATTTTTACAGCAATTGTGCAAAATATTTAAAGCATTTCAAAATAGATAACGAAGATGTCCACATATTTATTGTTTATTTAAGAAACAAAACAAAATAAATAAAAATAATTGAAGAGGACTGGAAAAGACGAAAATTATACAAATATATCATACAATTAAAATATGAAATTCACAAAGTAGGTTATCAATAATCAATTCAACATAAATATTTAAATATTTAATTTCATCTATATTTAGTTTCAAATAGTTATACTCAAAATTATATCATAATATAACATTTAAAATAAGCTCCGATAGTTTAATACATAACAATTTTATCGTCGTATATATTTAAAAATACACGCATTTCGAATAGTGACAGTTATATAAGAATATAAAGAAAAATATAGGACAAAATTAGATGATTTCCATGGCCTTATAAAAGTCATGCATACCAAATACTCTTGAAATTAAGTGCAATAATCAAAAATGAATCCGAATTCTAATGGTTTAATATATATTTCCTTTTAATAAGTATGTTGTGTGATGGAATATTCGTGTTATGTTGGAATCAACCATTGTTGTCTCCTTTTAAAGTAAATTTTCAACGTTTGTCAGGCTAAACGTGTGCTTTCTTCTTATGAATTTTACGGTAGTAAATTTTAAGTGTAATTTTTTTAGTTTTAAAATAATATATTCTTCTATAAGACGGCGTCTAAAGTTTTGAGGACCATCGTTCTATTACATAAAAGAAGAATACATTCTCATGTGTGTGTGAAATTATGTAATGGTATGAGAAACCACGTTTATGTAATATGGTATTATAGCATAAAAAAAAATAAAGTATTTTTATAAGTATATTAATTATAACGTATAAATACTGTTTTATGGTTCTCGAGTACATGATCTCAAAAACTATAAAATTGAGATAAAGTAAAATATAAATGTACCATAGGCATGCGCAGACCTATATTTTAGGGGGTGCCTACAATACTTTTGGGTTCTATCTTAACAAAACGTGTAGGCATATTTAATAAATTATAATTTATAAATAATTAAATAAACATAATTTCAATTTTTTATTTAATATAATAATATATTAGTATCAATGCATATGTTTTCCTTAAATCTCGTGTACTTTTCTCAGATAGCTTCAATTACTTATGATTTATATTTTTGTAGTAGATTGTAGCTGTTATATTACCTATCGTAATAAGTTTTTGCACGAAAATTAAAAAAATTTTGTTTAATATTTCTATTACTAAAAAAAATTTATTTTTTGCCACATATTTTAGAATAAATTTAATATAATTTGAGTAAAACGGTTAAAATACGGGCCCTTTAATCTTAGATTTAAATTGTAGGGCATTGTTTACAACATTTCGGGAGGTGCTCGGCACCTCCCGTGCGTATGCTTTTAAAATGTACTTGTATTCAGAAAACGTATAAAATAAAAACGATTTTATTCCGTATATTGTAGTCTTATATTTTTATTTTTAAATTATTACATTACGTAGTACAATAGTCAATTATTTAGAGCTCTATAATATAACCAACTAATTATTATTATGCGAAACTATAAGCCCGAAAATAAATGTCACTCTATTCGCTATTGAGGCTTGTAAAAAAAATAAAAATAAATAAATACACCATAACCAATTTTCTAATTTTGCCAGTTGAGAGTATAACAGATCACCTGTATTTTCCATTAATTATACAAACACATTGTTGTTGAAATAATATGTTTCCAGCTGCTATATTTGTAATATGACGTAATGTGTGTTTTCGTCGACTTTTACTAGCTTTTTAGTCGCAATATATATTCAATCGCTGTGGATTTTATGCTTGTGATGGTATATTGTTGAAAAATATTAAATAAAATAGATTTAGCATCAATATTTTGGGCGTCGAATGTGCTGTGGTTATTAAATGTATTGTTTTTCATTAAACATTCTAATCAGATTTTGATTTAATTATTACGAAAAGACTTCGCATAACATCTCATCTGCACTAGAATTATATTTTTTCACGGTGTTATAGTTTAATAGCCTCAGCAAACAATTTTATACAAACAAATTATAGAAAAATTACTTATTAAATCTAATTTTAAATATTTCACTAGCATTTTTCTAAATCTTTTAAAAATATCAATAACATTCTTCAACCAGAATGTTATAAAATGGATAATATGGGAAATTTGGCAGTACCAGGGCTCTTAATCTATGGGGACTTCCTGTATTTTAACAATAACAATTTTTTTATTTTTGTCATTAGCAAAAATATTTTTGAGTTGAAAATTGAGAAAATGAATTTAATATACTTTATTTTATTATTATTCATTTATAAAAGTACAATTTAAATTGAGGATTATCCATACATATACACCTATTTAATATAAATTAAAAATACTAATATAATGCATTTTTGAGAATATATATGTAGGACCATTGTTAGGTGTGCATACCCCTCATTTATGAATGATCTATGTTTACAGTTGGCAATCATCAACAAATTAAGTAATATCAGTATTATAGAAGTTTGTTTAAGAAAGTAGTCGGTAAATTTGTACCTATATTTATAATTCCTCCCCCAATCAATATGTTTTAGCTCCGGCCCCTTTGCATATGTGTACCTTGTTTTATTATTTTACATTTAAACCGAATAGGAATCGTTTTCTATTTGTGGCTTTGTAACATGTGTAATATGTAATATATGTATTTTATTTACTTTGCTTTATTATTATAAAGAAGTTTGTTTAGTAATAAAAATAAAATTGACTGTTAAACTCGTTTAATTAAATTAAATGTTTTGTCATGTTTCGAATACTATATTGTATACACAATTGAAACGATGTATTTTGGTTACAGTTGTTTGAGTATTATATCTTGTCGTTTAGTTGATTTTCATTTCTGTAGTGTTAATAATCAAGAAGAATATATTTTTGTTGTACACACAGTCTTGCGGTTTTAAACCCTATTAAGATTTACATTTGTGAGCCACATAATGTGTTGTCATCATTGTTGATTTCAAATGATACTAAATATATAAGCGTTTGTTTTTCATCCGAGAACACTAATTGTTGACGCGAAGAAAAAAAAACCGTGTAGAAAATGTACGTCATAAATAAATTTCACTTACTCTTGTGTTTCGAGTTTCCTTTCCATATAGATTTAAGCGACAGTGGCATTATGGCGACGGAGAAGTTTGTCTTTTCGGTTTTTCGTCGGATTCGTTTCTCTTTCTTTCGAACGCTTTATGAGTACCACACGGACAACGACGGTAAATACAACGTACTTCGACGGTTGATACTGATATAAACAACGATATTTACGTACGAGTCGATAAAGACGTAAGACTTGACACTCGCGAGCGCGCGTAAAACAATCAAAACTCTCACCGTTCACTACGCCGCACACGACGGACTGCGATGGTCGGTAACGTGCGCGTGGTTCCGCGGTCTCTCTCCGTTCGCCCAATAGACTGCTCTTGACACCACCACCACCAGCCCCTTCTATCCCCCCGCCCTACTCTTCGTTCACCAGGCCGCCGTTCGCTTACCGGTGTACGACGTTCGACCGTAACCACGGTCACACAGCTGTCACGCAGCAGACAACGTTCACGAGCAGCGGTCATGGCATCCACGGTCGTCCGGTGTTTTCGTTGTGGCGCATCGGCCGACCGTCCCGTCTCGAAAGGTATCGACGACCGGGAAAGATTCGTAAACGGAACAATGCTGAACGATTGCGGTGCAACAACAGACGACGTCGGTGGACGGACGACCAAGTGCCCCGATGGTGCGACAACCGTTCGAATGTTCGGCGAACACCCGGAATCGGGTCAAAGGCACTCTTTCGGCGCGTACGTGATACCATTCATAACTGAGACCATATGATAGGTGTTTCGTGTGCAACGTATAACCTACAGTCGATGTTCATTAAACGAAAACTATGAAAAATCATTTGTAATTCGCACGCCTCATTAAACGTAGATAACGTTCGTGTACGATTCTACAATTACTTCGATCTTTAATACAGTAATTAACAACGTTGGCATTGTTATTGATACTCCAAATTTTCGAACATCTATCATTATCCCTATATTTTTCAGGTGTTTCGTCTGTACGATGAAGGTTTTTTTTTTAACCGTGAAACAATATTTTTGTAACAGAGCAATAGATAACATTTAAACGTTATGCGCCACTTATTGGTCCATTACACGATATGTTGTCCGATGTTCGCATTTTATGTGAAACGCACGGAACGTAAAGTTATCTTATTCGAAAAATAAATAACAACATAATGGTGATGGTTTAAAAACCATTATTTTTAAAACTGTGTAACATATTTCATTTTTGCCGTTAGTAAATACAGTTTAAATAATAGTGCAACGCTCATACCATAATATAGAATAATAAACAAAACATTGATTCAAAACATCAAAATCAAGAGGCTTAAATTCCCATGTTATAATTGTATAGCAATACATGTGCGCTCAAAAATACACGATCATAGCTGCACGCTATTATCGTACGAGTAAAATATGAACGGTAAGGTGAAAAAACGTGAAGATACATTACACTCGTCATTATGTTAATGCTTTGGTATTTATTGCTCAAAGGCAAATCGTTAAACATGATAATAACCATAGTACAAATAATAAGGTCGAGTAAAAATGTTTACGTTAAGTGTTAAATTTTTAAAATTACAATATGATAATTGTGTACACGAGTTGAACTGTAATGGAATAGTTTACCCACTCCATCAAAATGTCGATTGCATTAAATAGGTGGGTTCAATATTCCAATTTATTATAATAGGCACCTATTCATATTCAACACAATACCAAATGGGCGAATGTAAGTTCCTACTCGAGACCTAGCAGATAAAAAATACTGTATTTTAAATGCATGTTAGTTCCTACATGACGAGATAAAAAAAATAATAAAAAATTGTTTGTATACATTTAGCTTTGAGTGAAGTGTATTTTGATGGTGAAGATGTATTAGTATAGTATTAGTAGAAATTTTACTCACCAACGTTACATACAGTTAGCTTTACCAGCGTATAAAGTTTCAATAAATATATTAATTTATTAGAAAAAATAAAATAACCAATATATGATTATATATTCGTACATCCCAAATAGGAAGTATTGGATAATCACAGAGTAATTTTTCCACTGTAAAAAAACTAACACAATGTTTTTAAATAAAAATTATAACGTCATTCATCTTTACTAATTTATGTAATGGTACATACGATATTTTTACTACTCATACATAATACAACACAAATAGTATCAAATATGTTCACAATACAATACGTTTTGTTAATTTTATTCAGGTAATTTATACACTAATTGTATTAATATTAAATCATAAAATTGAAATAGCGCTGCATAAAACGGCATTCCCACTATTAACTGTATTTATAATCTCAAAATTTCGCGACTTATCTTTATCATATTTAAAATATTCTGTTAATTTCTGAGTGGATACGCAAGATGGAAAATTGATCATAATGTTTTTGCTGTTTTCGAGTTGTAAATGAAACCCATTATTAAAACGCACGCATACTTTCTTTCGATCGGCGTATACGAGTATGATTTATTTTTATATTTTACGCTAACATTTTAAGATTTATACTATTGGCGCACATGTAATGTTGCAAACATAAAACAACGTGATTGTCATATACGATATGTGCTGAAATAATTTACTCGTTAGCACACAACAAATAAAGAATACCTAAGAAGTATGATACCATAAATTATGTGCCGACGACTGTCTTTAATTGTCATTTCTAATGACGGTTTTGAGATTATATTACACTCGGGTTGAATAATATACTTAATTATAATTTTTCAATCAAGACAGCACGGTATAGTTATTATTACACAAAATACGCATAAGTTGCACTACGTTTTGTTTATCAAATAGTTTTTAAAAAATTTAGTTTTCCATTATTTTTTTATCGTAAACGGCAATAAAATAACATTGCGTTGTTTATAAATAAAACGCATATCGTTAATATTAAATGCTTGGCAAATAACATTATGTTTACGTCGAAGATATTTTGTCAAAACTCCTAATGAAAGATCGCTGTATACACTCACTAGCAACAGTATCTACTGGTCGTCGTAGTGTAACTGTAGCGTCACTACGTTTATTTTAAGAGCCAAATGTCATTAGGAATTTGTCATGTGAGTAACTGCTAGTGGCGTAGTAGAGCATCGAATTACTTTCGACGTGCGATACTGCGATTCGAATAGTTTAACATAATGTTAAATATATATATAAACTGCATAATATTTAATAATAAAACATAACTGTGTGGCGTACATATATGTTACATACCGCACAGTTGGTTTTTTACCCAAATACTTCCATAAGAAATATTTTTGCCGATATCGCGAAACCGTTTGCCAATTATTTTTGGTATTCACGTTTTATCGAATATTCTAAGCGATCTCGTTTGAGCTAACACATTTAATGACTAAATTCAATGGCCACCATAGTTACACGGCATAATATTTTAACTAAAATGTTGTGCAATGTTTTCTTAAAAAATTCAAACATTTGTTGTAAAACATTATTTTCTAGATCCTGGTACATATAAACTTTTATGAACTGTATGTTATTACTTGACATCAGTAAATCATGAAAAAATAATTGAGAGTTGTGTAAATTTGCGAATTATATTTAAATATGGTTCATTAGATCGATTACAAAATTGTATTCTAAATATATTTGCACGATTATAAATTCAATAATGAATGCAATCAACTTTCAAATAAATAAATACCAATTTAAGTTTGAAATAATAAAAAAATATTACATTATTAAACAATTCGTTTCGTAGATATTTATTTAGTAGCATGTACTTACCAAAAAATGATTGTTCAGCACGGTTATCTAATAATTGTAAATTTAAAATAAACAATATATTTTTAATTATGATTATTAATTTAAAAACATGTATCAAGTATTTTTATTCATAGTATTGGTTTTCATAGCTTATACATGAGACATATTTTATAATTTTTAAGCAATTACCAAAAAAATTGTTAATTAACAGAAATGCCATCTACTAATTATTAAGGACTGCGACAATATTACAATATTTGGTCATGACTAGTTCGAATTGGTGAATATCCAGGTAAACAAAAATATTTGTGATAACATTTTCCTCGAACTTATGGAATATTTAATTATACCGAATTAATTACGGTTTAAAATCGTCTCGAATTCAGAACGTTATACTCACCGGCTCGTTCTAAATACTGTATATTTTTCAATATCTTGTAACTCTTTATGTGCTTGAAATTAAATGGGTGACATTAAAAACTGTACACTTGAAAACGTAATCTGTTTAAAGACTAGAGTGGTGATTTGGATGGGGAATAGTTAATTCCTACACGGTAAAAAAAAGGTGAGTACGTTAGTTCCTACATGATTAACCGATACCTACTTAAACGTTTAGAAATATCGAAGATAAAATAATACAGAAAAGTAGACATAATTGAAACAATTATTATTTTTAAGTATATAGAGCAGTAATTTTCAACCTTTTTAAACTGCCACCTCTTTAAATGCAAAATATTTTCTCTAAAAAAAAAAAAAAAAAATAATGAAGAAAAAATGGGATGCTAGAAAAGAGTATAAATTAAAATGAAATAGAAAATATACAGTTGAAATTTTTTAAACAATAAGAGAATAATTGAAATTAATAATAATTATGATCAGTGGAATAGTTGTACTTGGTGCTATAGAGCCAATTTTTTGCTTTAGATTGAATGGGAACGTATCAAATCTAAGATTATAATGAAAAGTTAATCAGACGCAAAGATGGTAAAAAAAATAATAAAAACATAATAAAGATAATAAGTTTGAAAACAATTACAGATAATCAAATACATGTCGACCTGCTGATAGATATTTATATTTTTTTTCCTCACGTTTATGTTATAGATAATATAATTAAACTTCATTGTTCAAAAACAATAATAGTTAAGTAAAAGCACGAAATTCAGCATAATATCAGTACTTCAATTTTTATTTTTCTTCGGTTTTAATTTTTAATGTAAATATACATTACATTAAAACGACCCTACTGTACAAGACTTGCTCACCATCCCATAAAACAAGTTCATCGCCTACCGGGGGGTGATATCACCCAGGTTGAGAACCACTATATTATTATCGATCGCTTTCATGTTAATTTATATTATATAAATAATAGTTGAAATTCTTCAAAATCAAAATATGTATTTTTTCATTATTTACTTTATAAGAGTAATTTCAGGAAAATTTTTTACTATATCAAATATATGTACCCATGATTTCAAATGTATCATCAAACATATAAGCAAAGCCGTGTTGTGCAAGGTGTTCAAAAAAAAGGGTGACAGAAAATTTAGAATGGCTGTATAAATCAAATCTCGGA